GGAATTTGAAAACTTTTCTTTGTTATTTACAATTTTATGTGATGTATAAAAATGCAATTATTTATGTAACAAATAAATCTTTTTATTAATGTCATCCATGTTTTTCATTCTAAAATGAAACTTACCAATTCCCTGCTCGACCTCCTGTGAGCATTGGCATCGTCTGTCTTTGTGTTGTGAAGTAGAAGTAAATGTTGAGGAGTATACGCTGAGCTTACTGGCACTGACAGGACACTATTCCAGATAATTATTTGTTATATTGTTCTGAATTGAAAAGTTCTGTTCTTGAAAATTCAAGAAATTAAGCCAATCAAGGATTCCTTATGAATAATAATAATAATAATAATAATAATAATAGTAACAAATAATAATAATAATAATAATAATAGTAACAATAAATTTGTAACCTTAGTACAGGATACGCCATCTGAGAAGTCAGGATATGTATATGATAATACAATACACAATACAGATATTTTTAAAAATTAATTACTAGATATAACAATACATTTAAAATTCAATTCTGGTGTTAAATACATTAGCATGGAAAGCTATAATATAAATTAATATTAATTTTATAATGTTAGAGTAAGAAGGCTTTGGTTAGAAATCAATAATAATAAAAAAAAAATTATTCTTAGGTTTGTGCCCAGGCTGTGTCTGTCCTTTATATCCAACAATCAGTTTAGGGGATTTTGAAAAAATGCAACAAAAAAGCAAAAATATTAGAATTTCTTTTAGTAGATTCTATTTTGTACTGTAGAATGTGTGGTTTGACAGGAAAGCTTTCAGTTTATTTTTGAATGTGTTGAACGAGTTTAAGCTTTTAAATTTGCTATGAAGTTTATTATATAGTGTAATGCCTTCTATAAGGGTACTTTTTTGAAAAAGTGAAGTTTCACAGTGTATGCATGCAGATTTCTTTTTTGTCTAGTATCATAGTTATGAACTGGTGTGTTCAGAGTAACAGAACACTTGTTTGCTATAAGTGTCTTCTTTGTGAAGATTAATATTTCAAGTAAGTACATGCATGGGAGTGGTACTATTTGCAATTTTTTGAGCAGTAGTTAACAGGACTCATGTTTGTGAGTGTTTGTCAATGTTCTCAATATTCGTTTTTGATGTTGAAAGTGAGAATATATATGCAATTTGTCACATCTTCATGAAATTCTCTTTTTTAAGAAATCTCATTTATAAAAAGTGGTTGCAAGTAAGAACCGAAACACTCATTTATACTACTTCTGAAATAAGATAGGGAGCCGCTATATGGGGCATTTTTCAATCAAAATAAATACTTTCATGGCCTTTGTTTTTGTTTTTTATCTCTAGGGTATTAACCCATTCCAAAACTCACTTGTATAAAGCCTACTTAGTATTAAATTCACGAATCTATTCAAAATTAGTAAATTACATTAATGAGTGTTACCATGATGCAAACCTCTCCACGGAACGTGTTGCAGAGAAATGTGTCACGGCCACCTGGCCGCGTTTTCGAATGGTGTCGACGCCGCGTGCTTTCATTTGGGGTGACTCGCCCGGCGCAACAGCTGCTTAACACACGTAGCTTCGATGGGGAATCCCGAAGGGTGCTACTATTCAATTCACAGATATTCCGTGTTAAGGTTTTTGAAATTTTTTTGAGCAAGAAAACCGGGAAAACACGTCGGATGAAACTAGAAAGTACTTTGTGTGTCTGTCTGAGTGCATGCTCTCTCTGGTAGACAGTAATAACGAAATCGGCTACTGTTTAATTGGTAATGTTAGTCAAACTAGTTGATGTGTGTAATATAGTTTTTATGAAGTTCTGATAAATTTCGCTATTAGTTTGGCTTTAAATTTATAAATGATAAAATTAACACGTGTAATTGGTACAAAATAGTGTAATTGTAAGTTGAATGTTTTGTAACATTTTATTTTTTAGTAATTCGTAGTGAACCCCCTTTGACTTGATCTGCTACTGGTTTGTGGATCCCACCCTCTCAAATGATTGTTAATATTATTTGAGGTGTAAATAACGATATTTTGAACCAAATCTAGATTCACCGTGATGGCTCAGAGAAAGCAATAGCGTTACCTCCACAGCGTCGCCACCCGGAAGTCCGAGGATTCGAATCCCGACGGTGGCGGATTTTCAATATTAGTTATATTGCTATAGCCCAATAACTTACAAAAAAAACAACCTAGACTACGCATGCGCGAAAAGTAACGGAGGGGAAGGTTCCCTCTCTTAGAGGTTTAACTTCCCCGCTTGAGGAGCCGCCACCGTCGCCGCCTCGGCCTGGGCGAGCGGGGAGGAGGCAGCCTGGCCTTGACGAACCCCGGAGTGTTGACGCGTGAGATGCAAGCAAGTTGCAAGCGCGAATAAGCTACCTGAGTTCAACTGAGCTCGTCCCCGTTAGCAGTGGGGAATGGCTTCGCTACGCCGCCTGAGGTAAGCGACGCCATGATGTTTTTGTTTTTTTTTTCCTCCCTAAGTTGCCGAGCTATTGTTTGAATTCAACAACTGATTACAAGAGAAGTCTAGCGCTCTGCCGCTTTCATCAGCAGTTTTCTGCGGTTTCTCCTTTCAATACCAGGCGACTGCGGGAACAGTACATTAACAAGCGGGCCACGGACCTTGCGCTAGCTTTCCTTCACCGTCGTCCTTCCATCCTGTACTCTTATACACACAATTGAAGCGAATGCAGGTGCAGTACCCCAACAACTGAGCCACGGTCCACCTGCGATATTCCCTTCATCATCCTTGTGCCCTACTTCGCACATTACAAGCGCCAGACTACCACATACTTCGGGGGCGGTTAACTTGCCCGGATACGCGTATACCGTAAAGACGTCATGGCCATATGAAATTACTAGATGCTGCAACGTAGGCGTCAATTGGTTTTCCTACAGTGCCTCTGACCTCAGAATCCAGGATTCGAGTCCCGGCGGTTGGCGGAACTTTCGACTCTAGCTAGACAGCTGGGCTGAATTCTGCTGCTGTCTGAGAGATTATTCTAGCCGCCGGCTGTCCTGATCGGTAGTTTTCCTGATTTCTCCGACCAACGCCAGGCAAATAGCTAAGCAGTAAACGTGCGTCAGACCGCGCGCGATCTTCCTTCGACTTCCTTGTCCTAGCCTTACTCCGTACTCACACTCTCATTCACTGCCCTACCAAACTTGCCGGGAGCATGTGTTTGTCTCGGTTGGGGCGGTGCCCGGCGGTGGGAAATGCCTGTTTGGAGGAAACTCCCCGCATGCCGACGGATAGATCGGCGACGGCTCTCGCCATCCAGCGAGGGAACGTCGCCACGATGAAAACATGCACTACGCTTACTGGAATAACGACCTTAGTAGGTGATGCGCACGGAATCGATAATCAATCGAACAAGCAAGTAAACAAAGTAAACAAAACACAGAGAATATCCTTGTAAGTTTCCATGAATCGGTACTAAAAAAAAGGTATGCGTCTCTTACGAAAGTGTCTTTGGTGTAGTCAGTTACAATTGCCGGACTCAACTCCTATCATCGCCTTGTTAATATATCATTCGTACGCCAAAGTCTCAATTTCTGTGCTTGTTACGTAAATGACTATTTATTCACAAAAAGTTATTTTTATTCGATTGTTTTGCGTCGAGTATATGACACCAAACACATGAGAAGCGGCACGGAAGGTTTATTGCACTATCCCTCTCATCTGTCCCTCAAAAGGTGTGCCGCGTGAACACAGAATGTACCACTCACCTTGTGACACCATCTGTCACCTTGAACGCGAGGGTGAGAGGCTTGTATATAGGTCGTGCGGGAATCCAATCGCCGATTCACAATGTGCGCCCGCGAGATCGTAGCACTGCTGCTAGCGGCGGCGGCGGCTGCTGTCGCGCAGGGCCAGGAGACGGTGACGCAGGTGAGTTTAATATTATTATCTCCTATAACACTACAAAAAATTAAATACTTAAACAAAAACAGCCTTCGCGAATACTGCAATAACATATTGGAGTATGCTGTAATACAGCTCTTTACTTCCCAAGAATATTAAAAAGTTTCTGTTCCATAACGCAATAAGTGAATTGAAAATATTTCATGGCTTCCTTGCCTTGCTGTCGCATGTCTCCCACTACTCGTGATTGTTAATATGCCGATATTGGTTAAAGTGTGTCGATTGGCATACGAAACCGCCGTTACAGCTGGAATGTTCTGGAAGAATTAAACTGCATTGATCGTCAAACGTACTATAACTTATTTTTCAGCGTTCGGTAACATTTCTCATTTTAGCAATGGCTGATATCTACCATCTCTCTCTCTCCCTCTCTCTCTCCCTCTCTCTCCCTCTCTCTCTCCCTCTCTCTCTCCCCTCTCTCTCCCTTCTCTCCCTCCTCTCCCTCGCTCCTCCCTTTCTCTCCCTCTCTCTCCCTCTCTCTCTCCCTCTTACTCTCCCTCTCTCTCCCCTCTCTCCCCCTCTCCCCCTCTCTCTCCCTCTCCCTCTCTCTCACCCCCTCTCTCTCTCTTTCTATTTTTTTTATGTACACAGAGTTCAGTCCATTACTCGCACACCTTTTCTTGAACGATGGATTGAAGGAATGCGCGAAGAGTGGGGGTATTAGTTACGAAATCGGTCACTAGATTTTATGAAGCAATGCCAATCTCTGGAGAATCAGTCATACCTTCGCAGCTTTCTCAATAATTTGCGATCTAACTTTCTCAGAAGTTCGAGGTATCTCCTGTGATGGATCTTCGTATACTTCGGTCATTTCTTTAGAATTTGTTGCAGAAAATCGCGGACAAAAGTTCTCGTCTTCAACAGAAAATAGTTTCTATTTCTCGCCAGTGAAGATGTGTTTGGAATGATGTCATCAGTACTCACTGCGAGCTTTTGCCTTCAACTATTTGTTAGGCCAGAGAGGGGGAAGCGAGAACATCGTTGAAGAAAAGTTGCGCGAGTAATACAACTAACTCGACATATGTTTGTGTTTGCTAGCACGTAAGCCCATAAATGACGGTGGCGCGCGTCTTGGTTCCAGGCGGCCGTGGAGGCGGCGTCGGCGTGCCGGGGCCCGGGGGCGGCCGTGCACCCCAGCGACACGCGGCGCCTCGTGCTGTGCGCGGGGCCCGGCCGCCTGGTGGCCGTGGTGTCCTGCCCCGACGGCGGCGTCGCCGTCGCCTCCGCCGACAGCGCCACCTGCGTGCAGCGACGCGCTCGGCGACAGGTGCGCCCTCCCCCCCCCAGCGCACGGCACGGGCCCCTAGGGAGCACACGTCCCATGCAAAGCTACGCCGAATTCAGCCGGTCTGGAGGAGAATTCTAGCGATAGGCTGCTCTCATTGGTAGACTTCAACGGCTTAGCTGGCCGAGGCGTCAATGTCACTGCAGTGCCTGTCCTAGGTTCGTGTTCGGTCGGTGGCAGAATTTTCGACCCTACCCACGCCAGATAGCTAGATCGAGTCCAGCCGCAGTCTGGGGGAGAATTCTAGGGATCGGCTGTTGCGTAGTTTTCCGTGCTTTTGTTTCGACCAACACCTTGAGAATACTCTTACAAACGACTACGGACCGCGCGCGATCTTTCCTTCCCTTTCCTTATCGTATCCGCACCCCTTCATTAAGCACATTTACATTCACATCAACTACACTCGCACGCATACCGGGAGACCATTTGGAAAGTAGAGCTTGCCCCGCTGATGGAAATACTTGGAAGGGGAAAAGACCGGCAAGCCGACGGGTAGGCCGGCGCTAGATTTCGCCATCCAGCGCGAGATCACCCCCCCCCCAAGGAAAACATGCACTACACATATGGGACTAATAACCTTAGCCGTTGACGCGCCTGTAATCACGAATGAACTAATCAATCGAAGTCGTACAACTTACCAGAAACCATTAGAAATAGAACGTAGCACAAATTTTATTATGAAATTCTTGTATAGCTTATACAGTTGTGAAATTGGTCGTCCTACATCATGCCACATACTTTATGGTAGGAAATGATTGTAGGGGAAGTAGTAGAAATAGAGCATACCGCGTACTCTGTAGTAGTATGTGATTGTAAATCTAGTGGCCCAACGTAGCCCCCACTGTCTCATAGTGCAAGCGCGTGCGCGTGCGCATGTGTGCAGGCGGGGGCGGGCGCGGGGGCGGACCGCGGGTGCGAGGCCGGGCCAGGCCTGCGGTGCGCCGGCTGCGACGCGCTGCTGGTGTGCGTGGCGGAGGGCGGGCGGGTACGCGCGCTCGCCAACGTTCAGCTTGCTCCCGCCTCGGGCGCGGGGCGCGGGCGACGGCCGGGGCGCTGAGCCGTCGACGGCCGCCCTGCACGCGTGCGCGCCCGCCGCCGCCGGCGCCGCCCCCTGCGCAGACGCCGCCGCCGCCGCCCAGCCCGCCTTCCGCTGCCTGCAGCCCGGCGCCTTCCCAGACCCCGACGACTGCCGGCGCTACCACCTGTGCGAGACCGCACAGCTGCAGCACTACTCGGGTGAGGCGGCACTGCTCTGCGACGGCAAAGAAAATAGTCTCGCATAACTCTGCAACAAAGTCAATATTTTAATAAAAATATCACGAATGTGCGAGACGGCCGCGCTCCGACACTACTTGAGTGAAACGAAACCACGCGGAAAGGAGAACCCACTCTGCTCAACAACATCGAATGAAATCCTCTCACACAACTCTTCAACCAAATAAACATTTTATCGACCACATGCGTCTTTAACCCCTTTTAACATGCAACTCCACTGGTTTGTTACGTGCACTTGTACCTACCTATATGTTAAGAGATTTACGAACATTACCGTAACATCTTTAGCAACGGGTTATACCATAATTAGAAACGTAAATAAACAACCATCGATTCATCGCAAGTCAAATATTTAATAAGAAAAAAATGGCTGGACAAAACAAATCATGTTCCCACAATTGAGAATAAAAGTAACTCATATTTGTTTTGAGGATAATTATTATTAATTGTAATATTAATTGTGCAATAACAAATGCGTAATAGGCAAATTAATCTTATTTTCGTGGCATTCCACCACACGACACTTTTTTTCGGTAAGCATATTTACTGACGATCTGAAGATGTCCCCACTGGAAGTCGACGCGCCAACATCCTCTTCGAACGTAATTTTTTTAGGCTCAAGAGAATTATTTGCATATATCTTTTCTTAAACCACGCAATGCAAATATTGCTTAAATAATTATGTCACCAGCAACATTCCACACTATCGTAGTAACGTGCCGCAGCAACAGAATTAACTACTTTACTATCGCAGTAATGCCCGTAAATTTTAGAATAAATCGTCAGATTTTATGGTGACAGAAAAAATGCTGAACATACCACGAAATATTACAGTCTTATTACTACCTCACATAAATTAAAAACATTTCTAGATATGTTAACAACTATTATCAAAAGCAGTCTTCACGATTACTGCAATAACATGTGTAGTTCACTGGCATAGTTATAGAGGGGAATAGGGGTAGGCAGTCCGCACTGGGTGAGACCAATTTTTAAGTTGAAATAAAATAACATTAGCGATTTATTTAAAAACTACGTGTATAATAATTTAATAATTACACATTTAAATCATAAATACTAAGAAAGCGATAATAGATATAGAAAAGTTTGTCGTCCTTAAATCTCGAAAAGTATTTTTATAAAAAATATAAAACATTGAAGTACAAGGCTTGTCTTTAGATCAAGTTAAATAAAAGCGTTTAAAAATAACTAATGATTTAATAAATTAAAATTAGATTAAATTCACGAGTGAATACGTTTACACCCGGAGTGGTTATCTGAAAGTGCTAATTTTCCAAAAATGAATCAAGTTGTTTGTTTATTAATTTCCTTTTTGCGCAGATGTCTGTGACATCGCCTACGACCCGGACAAGTCGATTTGCGTGTCAGAAGGCGACACGTGCGACCCGAAGACGTCATCGCCACCTGCTTGCTCCACCAATGCCGCAGCGGTGTCCTTCCCGGGCCACCCGTCTTTCTACCGCGTCTGCCTCCCGCAGTCCCCCAGGGGCTACCGTAGCGCCGTGCTACGGTGCCCCGATCAACAGGTCTTCGACGCCAAGACGGGCGCGTGCACGTACGTCTGCGACGGGAAGAAGAACCGATTCCCGGATCCGCTCGATTGCCACGCGTTCTTCGATTGTCCCGGAGAATCGGCGACGCCGACTGTCCCGAAGAGAGGATCCTGCTCGCAAGGTTTGGCGTACGACGTCAAAAGGCACATGTGCGTGCAGGAAGCGAGTGTTTCCACTTGCGTGCGGGACTTCTTGCCCGCCCCCGTCCCGCCTACACTTGCGGTGGTGGCTCCTGCAGCCACGACACCGCCGACGAAACCAGGTTCTCCCGCCGATGTGCCAGGGCGATGTACGCAGGAAGGTGTATATCCCGATCCTTATGAGTGTCGTCGCTACGTAACGTGTACACGGTCGCGAACTGGTGCATTAGTTAGAACAGTCCGTTATTGCCCAATTTTTACTTCGTTTAGTGTCAGTTCTAATTCGTGTTGGTTCGATTTTTGCTTTTGAACAAGGCGCTCCATGGGAATGAGTATTCAGCGACACCTATATTTCATTCTTCGCTTGTCATTTGTTTTGTCATTCGCCGTTGCGGAAAATATAATTTATACACGTACATAATTGTAATACTATTACTGTGCCATTACATAACAAATAAAGTATTTTTATGACTGAAGTTATTTTATTAACCCTAAAACCTCTGTTTAATCACAGAAAAATATACGAGCTGATATAATAATTTCGATCCTACCGTAAATAAGATATCGAAAAGAAATTGAAAAACAATACTTTCACCCTTTAATCCTTCCAATACTATTCATTTAAACTGTGAAATAAATATTATTTCACATCAGTACAATTCATTCGCGTGACATTACCGATTTGCATGCTAATTTTGGAATTGTCTTAGCCAATCTGTCAGTCTGTTCTGTTACGTGTGGTAAGATGGCTGGCAGATGCGGATGCATGCGTATAACGGGAGTGTTTTCCCGGTATTTATTACCACAAAAGATACAACAGAATATAAAGTAAGTTTTAAAACGAATTTGTATTCGTCTGTTATTAATTCTTGAATTAATTACTAATAGTTTGTGGATAAATAATATAATTACCATAACCATCATTTAGAACCAATATCTGTGTTAACTTGGTACTGCGTGTTCAGAACTTGGAACGAAGAATGTCAATGGCCTTGTTTTGGCTAATAGAAAATGATCGTCTTGAGGTGGTGTGGTTTAATTCTGTTAGAATATTAATTTAACATGGAGTCCTATTTATTCACAAGCGGTAGATTGTTCTTGCCAGAATTGAAGATGCTCAAAGCATAATATTGAAAATTTAAATTCATTAAATTGTAAAGGGAATAAAGTAATGGATAAACCAATTGTTGCAGATATAACGAACATCCACGATGGTTTCATTCCCCTCAAAATACTGGAAGAAGAGTTCTACTTCAGCCAACAAATCTTGCATCAGTTGTTGCAAAGAGGACTATGTTTATACAAACTCAAGAAACTCCCAATCCTAACAGCTTGAAATTCATCCCTGGAGTTGATGTAAGTAATCAGGAGAACATTTTCAGAGAGATTTGAAAATTAGAAGAAGCAAGTGTTCATTGAATTTTTTAAATACTGTTGTAACGAATTGTAGGTATTGGGTGAAGGAAAAACAATGGACTTTCCAAATGGTACAACAGCATTTTGTTCACCTCTGGGGAAACTACTGTTCAGAATTGAAGGTGTTAAGTCTGTGTTCTTTGGCCCAGACTTCATTACAGTCACCAAGGTAAAATATTATTTATATTAACATAATTTCACTTAAGGTTTTGCAATGTGAAGTATTAATGTTTGTATTAGTATGCTGACTGCCTAGTCATTTGTTTCTTGTAAATACTACACTCTACTCTATTAGCATAAACAGTAATGTCAAATAAATGAAAAAATTAATGTATAACATGAACATCCATATTCTGACTGTTCTTCTGCTAAGCCAGGAAATGCAAGGTTATTTAAAAAATGTTGTTTCTTTGTGTGCTATTTGATTTGATTAGTCTATTTTGTTTTGGGAGATGTATTGTACTTGGTTTGACTGTTATGTGAATTAAAAACTTACATGAGAAAACTAATTGAAATTGCATGTTTAAATTCATAAATTGCTTTGGTCTCCAATGGTGGTGGTGTTCATTCAAGTTAATTGGTTTTGAAAATTATTTCACCTGCTCTATATTTTTGTGGTAACAGTATTTGCATATTGTTTATTTATTCACAGATTTATTGATTTTGGAGAGTGGAAAAATATGTTGTTTTTATAGAATCGTTTAATCAGATTCACATTTTTAAAACAACAATGTATTTTTTGATATTAAATTTCTGAAATTGATCAAATATTGACATATATATTTATTTATAAAATATTATAGCACTAATTTCTAGTAACTTTTAATAATTTGTTAAATAGTTCATAAGTTTGTGAATAAATAGATATTCAATATCTTTCATGTAATATTTTGAAATATTTATAATAAGAATTAATATTTAGTTAACAATTAATCAAAGAATCATAAAATATTTCATTCGCATGGTCATTAAATTACAAGTTTCTATTTTATTCTTTTTTATTAATTTGTGAGAACATTTTATAATGTATATTACAGTGCTTATATTAGTGATGAATATGGCGCATGTGTATTTGAGTTAAAATATTAGTGTTAAGTGATGCACAAACAAGTTAAAGTTGCTATAAAATAATCTAATGATAAATTATCAGTTATCATAATTCAAAATTACTTTGTTTTCCAAATTAGTGTGATAAATTGTCACTGTGCACTTTTCCATTTAATTAATTTGTGGATTTTACTAACAAAAATTATTGTAGGCATGCCAAATGCATGATGTGGGGAAATTTTGATGGAATGTTAACAGGTGTGTAGATTTAAATCAGTGATAAAAATATGATTTGATTTATAGGGGTAGTAACAACTATCGTTTCATAGAATATTTTGATGATATGATTTTTATTTTATTTATTTATTTTTTTAATAATTTTTCTATTGATTTTCATAATTGGGAACTAGTTCATGCTTAATGTTCAAAATAAACTAGGAATGTAAAACCAGTAAATTAGAATCGTTGAGTAATTAACTTTTTTTCATTTTATGTATGCATTGACTGTGATAAATAATTTATTTTTATTTCAATAATAAAAAAAAATTACAAATAAGAAAGTAGTGTAGCCAAACTATGTATTCTAGATATTTACACATAATATTTTTGAAAAATTAGAAACAAATATATGCATTATTAGCTGAGTTATCTTTGAAACCAATTTATAAAATCTACATTTTAAGAAAATGGAGCTTATAAGTAAAGTGGCTGATAAGAAAATAATGGATTTCACCAGAACTAAAGATTTTCATTGACAATTCGAAAACAAATCCAGTTATCTATGTGAGACTTTCAAGTACATGAAGATAAATGACCAAGTAATTTTAAATTTGGTTTTTGAAAAAGGCATTTTTTGAGCCCAGGCAACTGCACCTATCCCATTAAATTATCACTTCTTTTATTGATTTTCATAGTACTCTTTCTGGTATATTTATGTTAGGTTGATGAGGATGTTGAATGGAGACTTTTGAAGCCAGAAATATTTGCGATTATCATGGACTTCTTTGCAAGCGGGCTACCTATTGTCAATGAAGAGGAAGCACCTTCTGATACACGTAAGACAGAGTTTTATTTTTTTTTTCTCTTTAAAGTTGTGTGAAATGATAGTATCAGAGTTGTGACAGAGAAGAAGCAAATTGAGAAACAAACAGGGTCTGAAATGGCAAGATATGTGTCATGAAAACGGTAAGAATATGAAACAATATGTCAAATTGGATATAACACATAATATTAAAGTACAGTATAAAACATTTAGTACCCTTATACTGCCCAAGTATCCTTATGAAATATTACTTACAATGTACATGTACGTAATTTGAAATAACATTAAGAAAATATTTATTAAACCAATTTTAAAAATAAAACTTGCTGGACCTACTGGATTTAAATTTATTTAAAGTTTACTTTTTTATCTTTGGTAGCAATGGAAGCCATTGTACTAACATAAGAACTTGATAACCAGCAAACAATTACTGTAGCATTCTTTTTGAAGTGATACACACATCTGTGATTACTAGTATTTCTTGGAACTTGGAATTATTTTTTCAAATTAATAAATAACTAAATTAATTAAGAATTAAATATTAAGTATTGCAACAAGTGCTCTATCGTGAGCTTGTTGCAATAAAAATAACTAAGGCAGTGCAGATGGATGTTAACCAAATAGACTGTATCCATCTGGGAAGGACCTCAAACCTGTTTTTGAAATAAAAACTACCTTTTAAAATTTGTCGATTATTTTTTGTGAAATAAATTTCAAGCAAATTGTTTGTTTTTATTATAAAATATTAACAAAATATGTAAAATGTGTAATATAGTAAAAAATAGAAATAAGAAATGAAGATATTGTGTTACTTGTGTGTCTATGTTACCCCATCAAAGTTGTTCCTTTGAAATGCACAAACTTATTTTCCTTTCTTCATAACAATTTTTAAATGCTTCTACTGGAATTGTCTTTATTTTCTTGGTGATGCTTATTTTACATATTGTCTAAAATATAAAAATGATGTCTTTTCATGAGGGTTTTGATCTGGGGACAAACAATAACATGGACGAAGGTGGGTTGCAGAGGGGATTTCCCTTTTACATCCAATATTGGTGATTGCAATTGGCTGAATCAGGAGGTGTTACCATGTTGGTGCATCAAAGTGCTCCAAAAGTCCAGCCTGGCATGAGGACTGACAAGACATGAGTTGACCTTTCTTTGATATTTTCAAAGACTTATTTAAAAAAAAAAATATTTTTTTTTTTTTAAATCTAAACAGTTTGTACTTGCACCATAAAACCTGTGTGAACACACAGCTGTCAAACAAAAAAGGGGGGGGGGGAAATCATGGATGTGATTTTTGATTTACTAATTTGATATTTCTTCAATTGAAGAATTTGTAATCTTGTTGAGGAATGTTCCTCAAATGCGTGTTGGTTGTTTTGTAGGCCAACTCAGGGATTCAAGTTTAACACAAAATTTGATAGCATCCCATTGCTTTAAATTTCATGTTCCTTTTTCATAATGTACTGCAAAAACAGTTTTCCTGTGCACTGAAGTGTTGTGTAGTTGCAGCACAAGATTGAAAGTGACTGACACACAAGTTGTGTGAAGCACCTCACAGCATGTGCCAGATACTTCTTTGTGTTAGTCTCCTTTCTTTACTCCCCCACAACTTTCTCTAAAGACTGTACAGTACTACTGTTTGAGTAATGATAATATTTTGAACTTAAAAATAATATTTGAAAAAAGTTGTTCCGAGTGAAATCCTTGATTGAGGAGCAGGGATTTAAAGTTGTATGAAGTGGATGTGTTTCACAGTTCATGGAAGTTCAAATTAAATCATTTAAATCATGGTTATTGATGGAGGTTTAAATATTGACCAACAATTTCGAAACGGAATTTTCTAGCAGGGTCACAGTCTCATTCAAGCCTACACATTCACTCATTCAAGGAGTTTCCCATGTTTGATTCCTTAAATTGATGTAAATGTAAAAGATAGTGTAGGGTAACTCTTTAATAAATCAGAAATTTCCAATAAATCCGTAACATGTTTTACTCTTTTAATTAGCCTACAGTTATTAGTGATTAATGTGGCCTTCCAACTAAAAGTAATAGGCCTACTACTGAAGTACATAATATTGTTTAAAAAGTCAGTCTCAACTTGCTTTAGTAAATGTTTTAATTCAAATTTTAGTTTGAAATTTATGTTAATTCTGTTGCAGAAATAACGGAAGATGATGACGAAACTGTAGCGATGATAAAAGAATTATTGGATACTCGAATAAGACCTACTGTACAAGAAGATGGTGGAGATATTGTTTTTATGGTGAGGAATCCATATGTTTATTAACATGGTGTAAAGTCAGAAATAACTTGGAACCTTTTTTAGATATGTAAAAAGCAGGAATGATGGTAGATGTTTTTTCTCTGCATGAATTTTTAGTATTGTACTTGTGTTTCTCTAAATACAAAAATATGCACTGAATGTTCCTGTCATATTCCTCGACATGACAAACATAGACTGATTTTGCGTGACTTAAAATTTTTAACTTAACATTTGTACAAATTCATGTAAAATTAACGTAAAGTAGAAAGTTTGAGAAATGTTAAATATACAGAAAACACAAATTTTATGAAGATATAATGATGTCAATATAAAGTTAACTTCAAATTTTGTTTTTGGTGCTGTTTGTGTGTTTTCTGACTGATTATTCAAATGGAGCATGTAAATACAATGCTTCACTTCTTAAATTTGCCTGCAATCTTAATTTTCTAATCAGTATTCTTGGTTCATGGTTCATTAATTCTTAACAATTCCTGAAGATACAGAGAAGCTGCACTCAAATATCATTTCTTGTGTATACCTACTTTTAAAATATTTTAATATTTGACACAGTAAATTCTATACTGAGATGTTTATCTAATTTGTGGTATTAGTAATTTATATAATCTTGACTGCCAATAATTATTGAACCATAAACCAACAATATTGATTAGAATGCTTCATATTCAAGTGATAAGATATTAGGCACCCAAGTTAATACAGCAGTGTTTTTTAAATATTATTCCCATTTTCAAGTTAGCCAGGTAATAGTAACTTCGCTGTAAACAGAACAATCTTAATTTTTATTTAAATCGTTTGTTGTTTCGATTATAAAAATCGTTTTATTAAAATGTTTTGTTGTGATTTACAGGGTTTTGAAGATGGTATTGTGAAGCTGAAAATGCAAGGTTCCTGCACGTCCTGTCCCAGCTCAGTTGTCACATTGAAGAATGGCGTTCAGAATATGTTGCAGTTCTACGTCCCAGAGGTATTGTATTGACTTTAATATTTGAGCACTGTTTGCTTAACGTTTTTGCCTGTGATTCTCTCTGTGCTTCCTTTTAGAAGCTCTGAAACAGCGGTCCTCAACCCTTTCAACAATCCCAAAATAGCAAAACGTGGAGTGTGTTTGAGAACTCCACCCCCAGTCAATAAAACTTTGATAAAATTATTTAACTGCTTTGATAGTAACACGTGTACTGCATGTAAAAAGTGTACAAACACAAGGCATTTACAGGAACTAACTTATGTGCTTTTTATAACTTTGTGTATTTGTATAATTTTTTATGTGAGATCCACATTGAACAGAAATACATTAATATATTCCAGTATTATATTTCTTCATGACAATGTGTTCAAGCAGGCCTATGCTAATTGAACATATGCTTTTGGCATTTCAAATCAAAGACATTTCAGAACGTCCCTTTAGTTTTGAATACGAAATGTGCGTCTGGTGTTTTTAAATATACTATTTTGTATTTCTGGCTTCCAAACAGCAGATATTTGATCTTGATAATGATGATGATGGCTGAGCCTTAGAAAGCTGCTGCTGAGTGTGTAATAAACAAAAATGTTGACAATGAAAATGCCTGTAAACACTCATAATCAAGACATGGTTAATTGAGGTTCTACTACATGTGTAATCATAATTTTCTACACACATGTGAGCTCTGACGTGTGTAAAACATTTGTGGTATATGAGGCAGACTAATAATGTTGATGTGTACATGTGTGTATACATGCTTTTTTCCCTCTTTTTATGTACAGAATCTTCTCTGATTTTTTATTTTTTCATAATTAAATGTTCAAAGAATTCTATTCTCTATTGCCTTTACTGAATAGAAATTTAACTTCAGATTTCACTACAGAATTATTTATTTTTACGCGTTTAGACGATTTATTTGGAGATTTTTTCACGATACATATCGAGCTTGTGGACAGAATATGGCATGTTTCTCTGAAGCTAATAATATTAGGTCACATGAGAAAAATATTTTGAGACTTTTATGGTTGTGCATTAATTCTGAGAAGAATTCTAGAAAAATATTTGCACATATGAGAAAAAAAATTTACTTCATTTTTGCTATAAGTAAATTACTGTATTTGCTGTACTTAAATTATCTTGCTTGTGCATGTGTTGTTTCTCTAGGTTTTCAGTGTTGGATTTTATTGTATTTATCAGTAATGTTTGGGTAGCAAATTTGTGGTGTCATTGGTTAATCTGGTAGAGTATTAATTTGCTCTTTGCCATGGTGTGTTGTTCTGTAATGGAATATGGTATGTAATTTGAATTTTCAATTCAAACAAGTGCTATTTTACACTCAGGTTTTGGGAGTTGAACAAATAGAAGATGAAATTCAGATAATAACGAAGAAAGAGTTTGAAGAGTTCGAAAAGAAAATCTTAGCAGAGAAGACTGAGAAATCCTCATAAAGTAGACCAATCCTTGGACCCTTTTGGTTTCTTTCTAGACAAGGTATTCATCTTTCTTTATTGTATATACTTGTACATATTCCAGATGTGTGCTCTAATAATTTGAGACAATCTGAAGACTGGATAGTGATTAGAATCAAAGCTTATTCTCTCAAACTGTCAGATTTTGTTTTATGTAGAGAAAATATTCTCATATGAATTGTTTATTAGCTGTGATGTGAAAATGTTTTTGGTATGTACTGCATGTAGATAAATAAACATTACATTTGTTGGTTCTACTTAAATTTTTTATCCCTACTCTATAATTTCTGTATGGGATGATGTGGAATTTATTTTATTCAGCCTCAGGGTCAATTCAATTTGGCCTTTCGTAAAACAATGTTTTAAAGAGATCTGGAAGTATTCCTTTACCCTGTGTATGCTCAGTAAAGCTTGCTGAATCTGGATTCTGAAGAGACAGAATTTTTTCTGCATTGTACAATGTAATAAAGTAGAATTTTCATTTGCCAGGATTGAGGTTTATGTTCACAATGGATAGATTTCCCATAGCACATTGTGCAAGTTTTACTATAGTAGGTGGAACCCATTTGTCAGAAAAATCCTAATACATTTCCTTTTGGGCAGGAACAATGTTGTTCTTTTACTTTGCTATGGTGTTGGTTCTGAGTAAAGATTGGTTTATCATTAATGGACATCAAAACATATTTTCCCCTTAATGTATCTATATGTTGTTGTTATAGTTTTTTTTAAATTTAAGGTAGTGGGTCCTAGATGTGTTTACACTTGCTCTTATTAACTTTGTACAAGTACTAAATATTGAATTGTCTTAAATTTAATAGAATGAAAGCTTATCTTCCATTATTTATTTGTTACATAGTTCAAGTCCAACTAAAATAGTTGGTTTTGCTTTGTTTTGAATTCCAAGTTCTAGTTGATTCTAGAGGTTTTTAAGTTTAAAGACCAATAAATGTTTTAAAATGCAAATATCAGTGAGGTGTATAAACTGGATGTTGAACAATTGTCTGACATATGCATCCTATTTCAAAAAATTAAATGAACATACAGGTGACCCGATCCATATGTGGTTAAGATTGAATGTCAAGATTTTCTGCTTTTGGCCATCCATGTATCCATTTGAATCTGTCCATCTGTGCCTAGGACGCAGCATCTCCCGGTCGGCGGCAAGTAGATACTGACTATGACTCTAGAAAGCCTTTGCTTTCATCTTCATATTTCATACTTCAATAACTAGTGCATTTTGAGAAAATTCATCTGTTTTCACTGAATAGTGTGTGTGTGTGTGTTTTTGTTTTGTTTTTGTTTTTGTTTTCCTTTCCTTCAGAATTTGCAAGCCTCTAATTTCAGAGGTCTTGCAGAAAAAGTACTGAACGACGTGAATCTGAAAAGTACTGAACAACATTGCATATCAGATGTATAATGTCATCATCAGATGTATTCTGCCATAACTTTTCTACACTTCTCCTTTTTGTGTGATGTAAGAGCATGGGTTCAGATAGTATTTTATATATTTTAACTAATATTTTGCATTTATTATGCGTGTGAAAAAGTATGCGATATTCTCTCTAAATTGTCAGCTCACAGCCTTTAGCAACTCCAGTAGGGCATCTCAGGGATACCGTTTGTAAATATTGAATTGAATTAATGCCTTATTTTACGTGGCGAGACATTAAATGTTCACTCCAGTTCTAAGCAAGGAGCGGTCGTTGCCCTATAGATTGGAAAGCAATTTGTGAGATGCCAAAGAGAAATGAACATACCAAAGGGCACTTAATGCACCATGCACCCCAGCCAAGTCAGCCATTTTTTTTTTCTGGGGTGGAAGAAAATTATTTCAGACTTTTGTCTTGCTACTTTTAGAAGCCAGGCATGATCCATGTGGTATGGCATCAGTGGCTGTCAAAACCGGTCACATGACTGAATGCTCTGTAATTAAAATAATCAGGGAAACATTTCATCACACTTAAGAGTTTTAATTAACCCATTAAGAGATTCCATATCGAGGAGGTACATCCACACCCTCCATGTATAAATTATATTCATACGCAATTGGTTTGTGGATTTTGAGTCGAGCCCATTATTCATCTTTTGTGTTTTGTTTTGATTAACATATATTGTTTTATTGCCATAGTATGTATTCAATGTGCTAATTATTCTCTTATCTGCCCATGTTGTTGCTGACAACTTCGATGCTCTCATTGAAATATTTTCTCTTTTCTGTTTGTTTGTTTGTTTGTTTGTTTTTTTTTTTTTTTTTTTTTTTTTTTTTTTTTTTTT